ATGACTGCAAAAATTTTATTACTAATTCATATCAAACATCCCCTTTCCTTGAACAGACAAGCTAGAAATATGTTCTTTGCTGCAACTGGAGCCAGAAAACATCTTGATTGTCAGCTATCATTTTTAAATTTGGAGCTCTGATAATTTATCTGATACATGGGTATCTACATAGGGAACTTTAAGCAATACAAGATACTAAAAGATGAAATTGAAAAGATTCTGGACTTACTCTTTTGATGTGCACAGCAACTCATATACCATCTCTGTCTATAATGATTGAAAACGCAAAAGACAAAGGCACGGAAGAAAATCAGAAAAGCAGTTTTGAACAAAAGAAACATGAACATCAGAAGCAATGTTGGTAGCGTTGTCACACATTGAGAACAAAATGGAAACTGGAACCATGCTAGTCTGTTGATCTATAAGTAATGTTGAGTTCCACTTTAGAAAATGAGGAAACAATGCTTTATGCAGCTTTTCTATACTAGCCCAAGTGAATATATGTTCAAGATATGAGCAAACAACAATACATTAATCATGAAAGAAAAGAATAATTTAATCGAAATATAGAATTCCAAACCTGCAAGACATTTGGCAAATTTAGCCTTTGTGCAAGCTGTGTGGCAATGGTTGACTTTCCAACACAAGCAGTTCCACAAACAAGAATTACCAATGGAACTCTTTGATGGTGAAATCTAAAAGGAAGTAGCATGGCAAACAGATATTAATATGACAAACAACATGCAACTAATGTTCACATACTATTAGAACTCCAAATCTATCCTTTTGAGACTTCTGTCCTTGTTCAGCCAAGCCCTCACTTACCTGGTCATCATCTTGTAACGGTTTATGTACTCTTGCCCATAATCCCAACGCTCCATAAGCTGCACATAGAATCCTATGAGAACATTTCAAGAAATAACAACTCAAATCTGAAGTCTGAAAATGCCCTGCACTTCTATTCTGCTTTTGATCCCATTAAAATATTAAAACATACCTTGAAAAGATTAGCTTCCAAATCAGTCTGAGAGCTGCAGATATTTTGAGCAAACGACTATTACTCAAAAGATGGTGACAGTAAAACAAAAAGAAATGAGGAAGAATGCATACACATCCAGAAGGCTGTTATCTACAAGCAGCTTCTTGAGTTCAAGAGCAATTTTAATAGCTATATGATTCGGGATCTGAAACCATTGAGTTATAGCAGAATGTAAATGCCTCCAATTTTGAGCACTTCTCATTTTAGCAGGCTTTAATTTAGTAACGAAAACCAAAACAAAAACAAAGAGAAGAATGAAACAAATTCTCTTAATGGGAGAGGGAGAGTATAGCACAACATGAACTAATGCAAAATATCAAAGCATGACTCTTATGCATGAAATTAAATGAAAAAAAAGAAGTATCATATAGGTAAAATTGAACATTTGAGGAAACTAGATTCCTTTTACAATTAGATTCATGATATCTACCCACAACATTATTTCAAAAATAGGGATATCCTCATGCATTGTGATTAAAATATCCTTGCTTGCAAACAATCCAAGGATTTGAGTTTCAGATTTACATATTCGATATCTCAGCTTCATATTGTTGGGATGGTACAATACAGTTGTTATCTCAAACATTAAAAGATTCATCATTTCTCATGAATAATATTAAATCAGTTATGTAAACAGAGAGGACAGGATTCTCAGACCTTTGTGACCGTTGACATTCTACTGAGCAAAAATCTGGATAAGACATAGTAGTGATCCGCATTATCTCCCAACCACACCTTCACCTGGCAAAATCAAACAAGCAAAAGAACACAATTAGACTCAGATTTCTCAAGAACCAAACAGAAGAAGTAAACGATTCAAGAAAAAGGGAGAACCTTAACGAAGTCATATTTGGAGGCAGCGTTTAGAGAAGTGAATTTCACAGCAGGCAAACTGGGACTGGAAGTCTTGTCTTCATCTTCTGCACTGTTAACAAGGCTGTTGCTTGTCTCAATTCCTTTCCCTTTATCACCTTCCACCACCATTTCCCGGCAACAGTTCAACGTCGTCAATCAGTTATGATCTCACCGTCGCTGCAATTCCTTCGCTTCGCCGCTGCACTCCAGCGCGTCTGATCTCAGCTATTCCGCATTTCTGCGTCCAAGCCACTGGCCTTAATTCTGTAAGCCAACAAAGTTTCCTTCTATTTGTATGATTTTTTGGCAGAAAAATCTAATCAAAGGAGATTATTACTGCTAAGTTCCTACGCAATTTCAGGAGATTACAATTAATTGGCTAAGTATTTTCAGGATCATTGTAAAGTTTTGTTGCAGTGTATGTACTTCTCTGTCCCGAGTTTTTTTGCGTAATAATATCAATCATAAGATACAGATCTTATTGTACAGAACAAAATCTTTGAGGTCTATTATTACCCGTAATTTTTGTTGAAATATTTTCATTTAATAAAAAATGGTTCCAATTCTGAGCGCATGAATTAATATTCATCTATTTTTGTCATGTGACTTTCTTAATAGCTCGGATCCAATGTGTTTAAAAAGGTCGTTATACCTCGATCCACAATTATGGAGAAAAGAAGAAAAGAAATGAAGGAGATGTACATTACAGGATATCGAATCCCAGAATACAGATATGAAACATAATTTCAAATGAACTACAGGTATGTTACACGGTCAAGCAAATGACTGTCTGCAGCTTAAATATTGCAATTTGTACCTACAGACAGAAATGTTACTTCCTACAGAAATTACCATTACTTGTATAGGAATGTTAGTGGAAAGGCACCCCAGCAAGAGCCGAGAATCAACAGGTTCTAGCAGGATTCTCCAAATTTTATCTCCTTCCTGGCTTCTGCTCCATGCCAGAGACGGTGAAAATGGAGAACAATCCTATGTTGTCAACATCTGTGTTAACTAGATAATCTAGGACTGGTTACATCATAGTGATACAGCTTCGGTACAAGAAAAGAAGACCGTTGGAAGTGGCCCTACCTGCAGCCAACTTGTTTCCTAATCTTTTGTGGGTAGCAATTTCCGTCTTCATGTCCTCTTGAAAAATTTACCTCCTCTTTTTCCCATGCCAGTTCCTGTAAGACTTGAAGCAAGAAGAGATTTGGAATCTGGCCTCCACTTCAACTCTTTAAGAGTAGAGAACAAGGTTGAGAGGGCAGGACTAATTTCCCCATCCTTTATGTTCTTACATGATACAACTCTAAGACTATCAAGACCCTGCCAGGAAAGAATTACAGCCTCTAGGCCTTCCGTTGTTAGCAATGAACATCCTTCTAAAGATAGGAACTTTACTCTCCTGTTAAGGAAAAAAGGTAGACAAACGTTAAACTTCCAATAAGACAATAAAGCCTATCAGTAGACATCTATGTCCAAGCACACTATAATATAATTAATGCTTGTCATTCAGCTAAGGAATAAAACAAATGCCTATGCATATCTTGTTGGAAATGCACTTCTCTTGGGACCAGTTACACTTTAATATTTTGAGTAAAACAGCATATCTATGATATTGCTGGAGTAAAAGCAATCTTCTAAGATATAGATCTCAAACTTTTGGAAAAATAATTCTACTTTATCAATTTCAGAAATTTAATGTAACAATCTCAACTGCATTTTCTTATTAACAAGAATCTCAAAATCAAGGTCTAAGATCTGTCCAAAGTTTCTTTAGCCAATTCTATACAGAAGTCCATCTAAAAAACATGTCTCTTAAGAGTAGTGTACAAAAAAAGTAGTGAAGCCTAGCTAACAACACTAAACAAACAGCACAAAGACAAATCAGCGTACCTGCAGATGCTGGCGGCAATGAACATGCCATTGTCCAGTCCCCAACAATCCCGAATAACAATCTCCTTCGCAACCGCACAAACCCTAAACAAAGCTCTCACACTTCTCTTGTTGCGCAATTGACACTTCTGCAAATGCAACCGCCCAAGGGTTCGACAAGAACCGAGATACTCATCAGGCCCCGGACTAGCATCAATCTTTTTACATGACAAGAACCTAAAAGTCTTCAGGTTCTCACAGTAAGACAGTGCTGCCAGCCACCCATCATCCATCCTATGATCAGAAAGAGTCAATTCCTCCAGCATTTGGCAGCATTGCCCTATTGCCTTAATCCCATCAAAGCTACCCTCACATCCACTAAGCTCAAGCTTCACCAACCTTTTACACCCTTGAGCTAGAATTGTTAGTCCTATATCCGAAACCAGAGAACTATACAACCCCTCTACACTACCAACAAGCTTCAAGATTTGCAAATTCTCACAGGCGGCTATCCCGCGCAAGACATTATCATCGCATTTATGCAATTCCAGATCTTGCAAAGTAGGACACTCCTCGGCAACACTCAACAACCCCATTTCACTAGCGCCAATCACCACAAGCTTGCGCAAATTTGGGCACCCACCAGCAAGCACTCTTAGACCCCTGTCAACCATGTCCACAGGCAACAGATTCTCCTGACAAAGTCTCCAATAGGGCGAAAACCTAGAACCCACATGCATTGAACCCATCAGATGACTCACCAAAATCCCAGAGTTTCGTGGCGAAAACAGACACCCATTCACCAAATCGACATGGGTCAGATTTGGGAATCTCAAAAACAACCGACCGGATTCCAGAAACTCCCAATCTAACACCTTCAACGACCGCACGAGTCGTCCCTGGAGATTAAGCCACCTCTTGCAAACAAGAGAGTTAGGGTTTCTCTGAGAAACCGGGTGTTTAGCAAGAATTTTGAGGAGGAGATCGTCTGACAAAAGAAGGGTACGGTCGATTTTCGAAAATTTGGGGAGTGGGGTTTGGGACTTGGGATCATTGGGTGACAGAGTAGGCAGTTGCATAGCAAAGACGACATGCTTCAAGGACTTGGTGTTCTTCTTGACCCAGATGTCTGACCAGCTCGGCGCTCTCTTCTTCACTGGAATGTTGGAATCTGGACTTCTTTTCTCTTCTAAAACCGACATAGTTTCACCGCCGGAGAAACACGACGCCTCCCAGTCTGCTTCTCAGTACTCAAAACAAAAGACTGGATGTTTTGAGTTTCTGAGTCAGAAAAATCAGTGTGGAGTATCACAGAGGGAAGGTCGAGATGATACTGTAGCTAACGGATTTGTAAACAGGTGGGGTCGGAGATTTTGACCAATAGATTGTAACCGGAATCCGAGTGCCGCCTTTTGTTTTTGTCTGAGAATTTGAAAATTCGATTTGATCGTTGGGATTTTGACTTTTTGTCTTCGATGAACCATTGCAGTAGTGAGGTTCGAACCCAAGTAATGCGACTCTATTTCTAGCACTACAGAAGAGGTTCATACTTCATTGGCACGTAGAATTGGGTGAATTGAATGAAGATTTGATTGTCATTATTACTTCTACGACCACTTCCATCTCCATTAAGTTTATGAATCAATTAATAATATAAAGGCTTGAAAACACAAAATCTAAAAACTAAAGATGTGTTTGGTACAAGTGAATTTTATAAAATAAAATTGAAATTTATTTTTAATTGAATGTTTTTATTTTTTTATTTTAAATTGTATAATAAAAGGTAATTTTTTTATATTTTAAGTTACCTTATTGCATGTTATATGTTAATACCAAAAGATAGATGAAATTAAAAATTTTATTGATGAATGAAATAGAGCTATCATGGTTGAATAAAAGAGAAGATGAAGATCCCTTTCCTAAGCCTGTATATGAGCGTATATAGTATATTACAATAGAGTTTGAGTATGATAATGTCTTCTAATTTAATTGAACTTAGTTTTTTATTCTTTGTGGGATTTTAACACTTTATAATTACACTAATAGAGGTTTATAGTGTAATTATATCAATTGAAATTTGTTAAGTTAAGATTTGTTCAACGGAGGTTTGCCCAAAGAAGATTTGTCCAATGGAGGTCTATTTAGCAAAGGTTTGGAGCCACATGTTTTAATTCATACAGTACTCAAGTTTAGGTATAATATTATGTAATTTAGATTCAAGATCTCTTACTTTTATGAGAAGAAGATTGCTACTAATTTGTTTGGGTCATTGGCGGAATGTTTTTATGTTTGGTATGATTAAAAACTCTTTTATCACAATTCTATACCACTATGTTTGGTTTGATTAAAATTTGTGAAATTCATTTACAACTCTTTAATATACATTAGTGAAAAGGTATGGATAAGGATAAAAATTTTGTCTTTTTTTTATTTAAGGATACTAATTTTGTTTGGTTTTAAATAAGGCAGTAAACATTTAACTTTTTTTTTTTAATTTAAGAATGTTAATTTTATATTTTTTTAATTTAAGGATTAATTTAATAATTAAAAAAGTCATTTGTCACATTAACATCACCATTTAATTAATCATTAAATAAAAAAATATAAAGTTAATATACTTAAATTGAAAAAATATAAAGTTGATATCTTTAATAAAAAAAATTTTAAAATTACAATCTTATTTAAAAACTAATAGATTTCACATCATTAAATAAAAAAATAATAAAGCGGATATTATTATTTGTACTTTTTCTCATAAACACCAATTGTGTTTTGTTTGATTAAAAAATGTAGAAATTCAATTCTAAACTATTTAATGACTCAAACGTTGAATGAGTAAAATACCCTTTAAATTAAAACCATGTTACTCTCCTTAAGAAATAGTACGGGCATTTCTTGAAAAATTTATAATATTACTCATTTTATATTCATTTCAAATATAATTTTTTAAAAAAAATTCAATTAAATTATTTAATTTCACTAATTATTCTAGATGTAAATTTTACTCATAAATGAATTCTCAAAAGAATTCTCTAGTAAATTCATTTTTTAAATAAAATAAATTTATTTTCTTTTAAATCAAACATGCTCAAAAATTTTAAAACACAAGAACTCATTTTTCACTTACTATTTCATTTGAAAATGAAATGCATTCTAATTAGTTATATTTATTAACCAATGATGTATTAAGATGTTAAAGGTCTAGAGATTAAATGCACCAGGAAAAAAACAACAAGCATGCAAAACCTACTATGCAGCACCACTAGGCCGGTGTAATTTTGTTGAAGTGGCCACTAAATGGCTAACTCTCAACTGCATTTTTACTTTTACTAAATGACTAACTCCCAATTGCATTTTCACTTTTCATTTATTGCCTTATGTTAGATTTTGCCTTTAAATAGCTATGTTCCCTTCGTTGTAGGCATAAGTTTTAATTCAAATTTTCAGTTATAATTCTCCTCTGTTGAGTGAGTTTTCTTGGGAGTGAATTCTCTCAATTTATCTCTATATCTTAGGTCTTGCCAACCTAAGTGGTAAACTTGGCAATCGAATTCATCGTAGTGGGATTCTCAATCTCGCCAAAATCGGTGTTTCGGTATCGGTTCCTACGCTATTTGGTATCAGAGCCAATATATTTGGAGTCTGCACATCATTCTGAGCGTTCTGGTGAAAATCCAGTCGACAAACAAGATTGCACGCGCCCACACGTGCCACCGCTATTATCTCACGCGCCGGCCACTTGCACCACTGCAAATCGCATGAAGGTCACGCGCCGGTCTTCATCAACCTCCCATTCGCCATGTCATTTGCCACAGCATCGACGCGTCATCAGTCACGTCATCATCCAGTCATTGCCACATCATCTATTTGCCATGTCATCTGTGCCACGTCACTTGACACATCATCAGCCACATCAATGACATGTCATCACCACAGCCGCACTCTTTTGCCACGTCATTAAGTCCCTCAACTTATTTTGACCTTACAGATTTATCCCATTATTTTATAAATTTTCAAATTACCCCCACTTTCAAATACTAACTTTCCAAAAAGCCCCTTATCAACCTAAACTCATCATGCCTCCTAGAAGACAAAATCCTTCTCGTCAACGAGCTGTTCGGGACATAGAAATGGAAGAACTATGTCAACAAATTCAAAGGCTTCAAGAAAGACTCGAAGCTTTTGAGGGACAGCAACCTCAACACCCGCAAGATGAACCACATGAGTCAGAGAAAGATACTGATGACGAGAATCCCTTCCATAACCTAAGGGATAATGAAAGCTCATCATCAACAAAAAAAGTTCGTCGTCGACGTCGTCCCCAACAAAATGCTGCTCCCAAATCCACTGACCTTGGAATCAAAATTGATATTCCAGATTTTGAAGGTCGCCTTCAACCAGATAAATTTATCGACTGGTTGCACACTGTGGAGCGTGTGTTTGAACTCAAGGATATTCCTGACGACAAGCGTGTGAAGCTCGTCGCCATCAAATTAAAGAAGCATGCATCCATTTGGTGGGAGAATCTCAAATGTAGTCAAGAAAGAGAAGGCCGCAACAAAATTAGAACTTGGGAGAAAATGCGTTGGGAATTCACTCGTAAGTTTTTACCTGACCGTTACTACCAAGATAATTTTGTTAAATTTCATAACTTGCAACAAAAATCTTTGACTGTGGAAGAATATACTATGGAGTTCAAACAATTAATGATGAAGTGTGATGTTCAGGAAAAGGACGAGCAAACCATAGCTCGATATCTTGGAGGGTTGGACTATGACATTTCCAAAGTTGTTCAACTTCAACAATATTGGACTTTGGATGATGTAATTCGGCTAGCATTGAGGGTTGAAAAGCAAATCTCAAAGAAGAAAATCATTAGTGCTTCAAAACCGTGGGATTTTGGAGCCAGCAAAGGGACTCAAGCCTCAAAAACTACTGCTAAGACCCTTGCCAAGATTGAGAAGGAAGTCAGCTTAAGCCGTCCAGCTCAATCTAACACTCGAAAGTGTTTCAAGTGTCAAGGATTTGGCCACATAGCCTCCGACTGTCCAAATAGGAGAGTTGTCACCATTATCAGAGGAGAAATTCCTTAAGCTCAGAAGATGAAGCAGAAAAGGAGCAAAATGATGAAACTGAGTCACCCCAACTTGAGGAAGAACTCATCCCAGCTGACCATGGAGAATCTTTGGTTGTGCGTCGTAGTCTACATGCTACCATAACCAAGGATGAAGATTGGCTTCGACATAACATCTTTTACACCATATGCACTTCTCGAGGGAAAGTCTGCAATGTCATCATTGACAGTGGAAGTTGTGAGAATGTTGTGTCAAATTATATGGTTGAAAAGCTAGGTCTGCCTGTCAAAGATCATCCCCATCCATACAAGTTACAATGGCTACGAAAGGGAAACAAGGTAAAAGTAACCAAATGTTGCCTTGTCTCTTTTTCTATTGGCAACAGGTACCAAGATGAAGTATGGTGTGATGTTATTCCTATGGATGCTTGTCACTTGTTACTTGGTCGCCCTTGGCAATTTGACCGAAAGGCTATCCATGATGGCGATGCCAACACCTACTCGTTTGTGAAAGATGGTGTGAAGGTCAAGCTCACTCCCTTGAAGCCTGAAGAAACACTTGAAAAGAAGGATGAGGACAAGGCTTTAATCTCCAGATCAACCTTTCAGAGGTTGCACCAAGAGTCGGGGATAGCATGTCTCTTACTATTATCCAAAGTAAATGATACCACCTGCCCTTTTTCAGAAGAAATTCGATTTTTCCTTGAAGAATTTTCTGATGTTGTTCCTAACGAGATCCCTCTTGGATTACCACCAATGAGAGACATTCAACATGCCATTGATTTCATCCCAGGATCTGTCATCCCAAACAAGCCTGCTTATCGAATGAACCGTCAAGAGTATGCGGAACTTCAACGACAAGTCAAAGAACTGATGGAGAAAGGACTTGTCAAGGAAAGTGTTAGCTCATGTGCCGTGCCTGTGCTACTCGTCCCAAAGAAAGATGGAACTTGGAGAATGTGTGTAGATAGTTGAGCAGTCAACAAAATCACTATCAAGTACCGCTTCCCAATTCCATGCCTTGATGATATGCTTGATCAACTGCATGGAGCTATTGTCTTCTCAAAGATTGATTTGAGAAGTGGATATCACCAGATTCGAACGTGTCCCGGTGATGAATGGAAGATAGCATTCAAAACTAGAGATGGTTTGTACGAGTGGACGGTGATGCCATTCGGATTGTCAAATGCTCCCAGCACTTTCATGCGCTTTATGAACCAGGTATTTCGACCCTTCATTGGGAAATTTGTTGTGGTTTACTTTGATGAGATCCTAGTATATAGCAAGAATGAATAGGAGCACTTAGACCATCTTCGACAAGTTTTTGAAGTCCTTAGAGAACAGAAACTTTATGCTAATCTCAAGAAATGTTCATTCCTCACTACAAGTGTGACATTTCTTGGATACATCATCACTACTCAAGGTATCAAGATGGACCCCAATAAGATTGATGCTATTGTCAACTGGCCTACACCAACATCAATGCATGATGTTCGAAGCTTCCATGGCCTGGCATCTTTTTACCGGAGATTCATCAAGAATTTTAGTTCTATTGTTGCCCCTATTACTGACAGCCTTAAGGGTGACAAATTTTCATGGAGTGACAAAGCCTAACAGAGTTTTGAAGAATTAAAGAGAAAGCTCACTGAAACCTCTGTACTTGCACTTCCCAACTTTGACCTAATGTTTGAAGTAGATTGTGATGCTTCTAATGTTGGAATTGGTGCAGTGTTAAGTCAAGAAGGTCGACCCATTGCCTTCTTCAGTGAAAAGTTG